AGACACTATTGAAGGTTCTAAAATGTAAAACTTTCCCCTTTGTTCCATGCTCTCTCTCTCCTCTCTCCTGACCCGTTGTGGTGTTCTCATGTGCTCTTTTTTTTTTTTTTTTTTTTAACTTTTTTAAGGGTTTATTTATTTTTGAGAGAGAGAGCACAAGCAGGGGAGGGGCAGGGAGAGAGGGAGACACAAAATCCAAAACAGGCTCCAGGCTCTGAGCTGCCAGCACAGAGCCCAATGCAGGGTGCAAACCCACAAACCATGAGATCGTGACCTGAGCCGAAGTCCGATGCGCAACAGACCGAGCCACCCAGGTGCCCCTCATGTGCTCTTTTTTTTTTTTTTAAATGTTTATTTACTTTTTAGAGAGAGAGACAGAGACAGAGCACGAGCAGGGGAGGGGCAGAGAGAGAGGGAGACACAGAATCCGAAGCAGGTTCTAGGCCCAGAGCTATCAGCACAGAGCCCAACGCAGGGCTCGAACTCACAAACCGCAAGATCATGACCTGAGCCGAAGTCGGACGCTTCACCGACTGAGCCGTCCAGGCGCCCCTCCATGTGCTTTTTGATGTCGTGCTTCCCTGGGTATGGGGATGCTCCCAGAGTGGGAGCAGGCTCACAGGCACTGGGGGCCCTGTCCACTACCCTGGTGCTGGGCAGCTGGGTTCCCCCTGCCTCCAGCTACCAGGCTGATGCCACACTGAACCTGGCATCTCCCTTCCTATGGGACTACCACTTCGACCCATAGGATTGCAAACTCTGTGACGTGCTTGGTACCCGGATCAAGAGTAGGCCAGAGTTGCCCTCTGAATGCTCTGCAACACTGCCAGCCTCGGGTGGGGGCAGCCTGGAAGCTGCCCTGAGATAGTTTGGTTATGTGTACATGACCCTGACTCTCCCAGGTGAGGCTGGGGGCACCAGAGGGTGAGTGGTAGGAGGCCAAAGACCAATCTTAGGGAAGCCTGCAGGTCATGGGAGGTGGGCTAGCATATGGGCCCAAGTTTTATGTCCCCTGCCCCTGTTTCATTATCCCATCAGACTTGACTTCTAAAACTGAAATTCAAAGATGAAATTATTCAGGATCTCTCGATGGTGAGCATAGAGCATTAAACTTCAGTGTGAGGCTTTTCTGAGCATGGAGCCTCTGTGTAACTGCACTGGTCCCATATCCATGAAGCCAGCCCCGGGCTGTGGAGAACCAAAGAATCGCAAGTAAATGTTCCTGAACTTGAAGTGGTTACTTACGGAGAAGATAATATACAACGAGCTAATAGTGAGTCATTTGGAACAGATAACAAGTCAATGTACAATGCTTATAAAAAGCAGCTTGTGATGAAGTGCTAGAATTAGGCTTTCTGTGCACTGTTACTTTGTCAATTAATAACTAGTTAGATTTCCTCATTTTTTTTTTCCCCTCTGTCCATTCCCCAAAATTTGTTTCGGTAAGGATGTGTGGCCAGGGTTGAGGTGAGGGGAACACCACTCACTTGATGTCATTCTGGAATCTCCCATGCGTAAGATTTTCCCTGAGAGGCAGGCACACAGGAGAGCCCGGGAGGAGGGGCAGAATCAGCCTGGTGGTCTGATCCAAAGGGTTGCAGGAAAATCGATTTGATTGAACCAAAAAAAAAAAAAAAAAAAAAAGTGGGTCAGAAATTGAGAGGGAAGAGCCAAGCAGGATGTGAGTGTGGGTAAGTTGGCAAGGGTCAAGCCCAAGTACCTGACCACCTGGCGATGGAATAGGAACTGGGATTGGAATTACAGAGGACTTTGGGGAGAACTCCCATTCCAAAGGGGGACATGAGTTCTTGGAGAATGCAGAGGAAAAAGCTCCATCCCTCCAAGGCTAAGTGGGTGGATCAGGGCTGCACAAGCCATTAAATACCTACCCTGTCGCTCTGCGCCCTGAGCCCGGGGAGCGAGCCTGCTGCCTCCCGGCTGGGCGTAGATGGGCCACTGTCTGTTCTCCCCACACCACGCATCCAAAAGCTTTTATGAGGTAAGGGTAGGTTCACAGACGAGGCCGGAGCAATTTGCTGTGCCTTTTTTTTTTTTTTTTTCAATTGTAGAAACATATGCCAAGTCATTCAAGTTCCTCTGTCGGGCAGGGGGCCGGTGACCCATAGCAGATGACAGCAGGGGACAGCTGCAGGCGGCCCTTGGAAGCGGTAGTCAGTTCTTTGGTCAACAATCTTTACCGAATGATCTCGTGCTCTCATGCGCTGGAGCAGGGGGTGTGGGGGAGGCTGCTGCTTCCTCCTGGCCTGGTCCCTTCACTGTGGTGACAAGAGCAAAGCAGAGTCGTTGGTGGGGGCTGCTGAGCCGTCATGTCACCTGGTGCATTGACTCCTTCTCTTTCTCAATCAAGCACCAACAAAACAAAACAAAACAAAACAAAACAAAACAAAACAAAACACACTCAGATTGGTATTACCAGGCAGTTGGAAGACAAATGACTGGTTTTAATAGCCAGAGGAGAGGAAGGCTGTTTGCCAACGTATAGGGAGCAGAGAACAGCTGCACTTAACTAATCAAGCTACCCCTGTAAATATTTGCAAACGCCCCTTCAAAGCTCAAAAGCCTAGGACAGGATCATTGGACGATTTGCTTAGAAGAAGAAGAAACAAAATTGACCTCATGGTCCAAAGCAGCCATAAAAAGAAAGAGTGAGTTCGGGCAGAAGACCAGAAAGGGAAGAAAGTGGTTCAAAGTTTAATAAACACAAAAGAGAATAAAAATAAATCTCAAGAGCACTTATTTACAAACTTGATGGAAGGATAAGATTGGGGCGGGTGGGTGTGAAAGATGGGCGGTTGGGGAAGGAGAGCTGGCCTGTGGGGTTCCACTGAGTGGGGGCGGGGGGAGAACACCCAGGACGTTTATTCTTCCTAATGACAGGAAATGCGCTGAATTAGCTTTGCTGTTTCAGGATGCTCTTTCAAAGCATGTTTGAAGCTTCTGCTGTCTAACGGGAAGGCAGAATGCAGCCACTAGGCCTGTGGAAGGTTCTGGCCAAACTAGAGGGTGTAGAAAGCCAGAGAGCCTGGCTCCAGCCTCGCCCCAGCTTCTCTGCCTGGGCATCTGGCCGGTTGTCAGCTGAGCCGGTCAGGCCAGTACCAGCTTGTCCAGTCACCTGGGGTGGGCATGCTCCAGAGGAGAGAAAGATCGATTTCTTCCCAGCAGCTACCTTTTCAAATTGCAGTGCTAGGGGGCTCCAAAATCCTGGCTGCCTGGATGAATGTTTGCCTGAAAACCATCCACCAGCTAACTCACGGTAGTAACGCAGCGGGCCATCACTGTGTCTGCATGAATACTTCCTTTTCTCTGACACCGGGATGCTTCAGATTTTTGGGGTTTTTATTTTGTTTGTTTGTTTGTTTCTGAGGCTCCTGGCTCACGAGCTACAAAGCTTCAATTCACATAGGCGTGTGTGAAGCAGTCATCGGGCAGAACGTGGCTTGGAGTCCACTGCCTCCCCATGAACAGCTTTCTGAGAGTCACAGGACGCGGGGAAGGGCACGGGGGAAAGCCCCCTTGAGGGAAAAAAGTGCTGGGCTCTTAAGATCAGCAAATGTCGGTGTGTTCCTAGCATTTTTTTTTTTTTCCCAGTGTAATCGTCAGGGCATGGATTTCCCAAGAAATCACGAAAGGTATTTATTTCTATTTTAAGATTGGCAAGACGGTTCATTTATTTAATAAGAAGTTAGTCTTGCCAGTAGCCAGATGCCTGAGTCTTTCAAGACTCCCATTGATGACCAACTATACAAACAGTGGGTAGTTGGTGAATTCCATGTGTGCAGGGCCCTGCCCTAGGTATGTGGAATAGGGAAGACCTGACAAATATGGTCTCTGCCCTCAAGATTCTTAAAATTTCCTGGGGGGAAACAAAATAAACAAACATAACACAGAAGTAATAAAAGCACTTGTAAAAAGCCATAAACAACTGTGAATTATTATGTTATAATGAAGCTACATAGTTGAGAAGTAGGGTAGAAAGTAATGGAACTACAAGATTCGGATGGAGCATTCCGGAATAATGAGAGAACGTTTGCAGAAGGTTATAGAAGAGAATCGTAGAAACATCTGTAACACGTGGGCTGCCCAGTGTACGTGCTCAATAAATGGGTGCTGGGTGTGAAACACGTGGAGAGAATTAGGACCTCCGTTGGTTTTGTTGGTGTGGCGCAGTGGTGCATTCAAAGGCAACAGCAGATTACTCCAAAACAATAGTGAAACTCTAGCAACCCATGAACTTGAAATTGTTGTGTGCCATCTGCATCTTTGTGGTTTCCATGGCTCAGAAGAGAACGAAGCGGGGCTGATTCTTTCCCTTCATTAGCCGGGATTCCCTCCCACCAATGGACGTTATGTTAAGTGAAGAATTTTAAGATTGGACCTGATACAGCCAATTTGGGGGTTCAGTTTTTGTGAATTCAATTTTTCTCACCCTGACTTAACTAGAGGGTGCATTTGGTCATATGTGTGGGAAAAACCAAAATATTGAAGACAGAAAAGAGGCAATACATGAACCTGGATAGAGTAGAGTATTTGGATGCCAAAACTTCAAGAAAAAAAAAAATACATGGGCAAACTGCTGGCCAGTAGGAGCTGTTTTCTCGGCACATCTGATTACAGTGTATGCAAGCCCAACAGCTCTCTCCAGGTATCAACTGTCAAGATCTTGATCCAGTTCAGAACCATCTAGGATTTTCCACTGTGCTGTCAACTTTCAAAGGATAGGGTTAACTGCATGCCCTCAAATGGAGTTGGAAGTGGTTTGTTAATCTCTATTAATCTGCTGCCCCTGTAACCACATGCACATGTTTATTTATTTATTTTTTTCTGGTTAAATTGTTAACGGTATTAAATTGGCCATTGGAAACTAAATGGTTCTTGTAGATATATCCCTTATGTTTTCTTGAGACTATCTCATGCTGCACAGTCTTTTTGAGAGAACAATGGATTTTATCATTTTCAATGATCGCCCTAACTTTTTACAGATGCCATCCCGCCCACTTTCTACAGACCTTACTTCAGAATTGTCCGATTTGACGTCTCAGCGATGGAGAAGAATGCCTCCAATTTGGTGAAAGCGGAGTTCAGAGTCTTTCGTTTACAGAACCCGAAGGCCAGAGTGCCCGAACAAAGGATCGAACTGTATCAGGTAACTTTTGTGGGGGTTGTTTTGGTGGAAAATCAGTGTGAAGTCTTGGTCATAGATTTTCTGAGCTGATATCAACCACTCTGTACATGCACAATCCTGACAGAGGCTCTCATTTGCTAGTACTCTGCCAGTGACAGCTCATTCCACAGTCAGTCTGGAAGGAAGAACTTTTGGAAGGAAGTGATGGAGGTCTGAGCGCACTTCTTCAATGGCACAAATGGCTGGAGTACCCACCCTTGGGAGGGATGGCGTCCAGAAGTCCACCCCTCAATCTGGAAAGTCAGACAATGTAGATTCAATTCCACCCCAAGGGAAGAAGTTAGCTGGCATTCCTTTTCTTTTCTTCTTTCCTTTCTTTCTTTCTTTCTTTCTTTCTTTCTTTCTTTCTTTCTTTCTTTCTTTCTTCTTTCTTTCTCTTTCTTTCTTTCTTTCTTTCTTTCTTTCTTCTTTCTTTCCCTTTCTTTCTTTCTTTCTTTCTTTCTTTCTTTCTTTCATGTTTGTTTATTTATTTATTTTGAGAGGGAGAGAGAGAGAGAGCACGAGAGGGGGAAGGGCAGAGAGAGAACCCCAAGCAGGCTCCATGCTGTCAGTGCAGAGCCTGATGTGGGCTGGAGCTTATCAACCCTCAGATCATGACCTGAGAGGAAAACAAGAGTTGGATGCTCAACCCATGGAGCCACCCAGGCGCCCCCTTCTTTTTCTCATCCTATGGATATCGTTTTCTCCTTTTTTTTTTTCCTTTCCCTCCTTCCTATTATCGTCTCTCTTCCTGTAGTTTTTCACTTCCTTTTCTTCCTCTCTTTGCTGTCTCCTGCCTCTTCACTGACCTCATTCTGACTCCTTCCTTTTCTGATTCTACCCACTCTCTCCAGTGCATCCTTGTCCCCATTCTCTGTCTGCCCCTCACCTGCATTATTTCAGGCGACTCTGACATCTCTTTCAGTCCCTTAAGTACAGTTGCTGGGCAGCTGTGTTAAAAGATGCTGTTGTTGTTGATGATGATGATGATGACGATGATGATGATGATGGAGAAGTGCCAAGTCACTGACATTTCAGGTTCCTAAAAGCTTCTCAAGGGGATTGCAGGGCACTAGATCAGCATTATCTAGAAGCTGTGAGGGAAGCAGCATCTCAGGCCCCATCCCGGACTCACCAAACCAGAATGCACAAAATGTGGAGCAGAACCTACGTGTTTCACAAGGCCTTTGGGTGATCTGTACATATTAAAGCACTGGTCTAAAAGCCCCGAGTCTGGGGATGGAGGCAGACCGGTGCCCGGGGAACTTACGTGTGTCATTGTGTCGTATGAACGGTGTGTGTAGAGAGCAGAGTTGGAGAGATTTCACCAGGGAGTGGACTCTAGAGCAGGGGGCCTTGAGAAGTGTCTTTTGAAACAGGATGAGGGGCGATCATTCTTGACAGAGGACTGACCTGTGCAAAAACAGTCTTGAAGGGCCTGTTGAGGGAACCGCATAGATGGTGCTCAGGAGAGGTGAGGAGAGACTCGAGGGAGGGGAAGCCAAAAGGTGTTCAGAACTGATAGGAGAACCACGACGCTAAGGAGGAGGCCTGTGCGACTCCATGGCTAATGAGAGGGCTTACTTGAGGAAAAGAAAGGAATCGGCATCTGTATGCAGAAACCTCTAGATGTTCTGGATTCTAAGCACTTGGAAACTTCAGTATTTGGAGGAGAATCTTCTTTGTGTTTATTATGAAAATGGGGAATTACCATAGTAATAAATGTTGTGTATGAGATTGCAGAGAATATGGTTTTGTTAATTGTATTTATTTATTTTGAGAGAGAGAATGAGAGAGCGCATGAGTAGAGGATGGGCAGAGAGAGAGAGAGAGAGAGAGAGAGAGAATCCCAAACAAGCTCCACACCATGCGGGGCTCAAACCCATGAACTGTGAGATCATGACCTGAGCAGAAACCAAGAGTTAGATGCTTAACCGACTGAGCCACCCAGGCGTCCCACAGACAATAAGTTTTAAAGTTTTGAAAAGAGTCTTCAAGTACTAGTTTACATGTGTGTTCATGAAAAATAATTCTTACTTCTTAAAATGAATCCGCAAGGACTTAGTGTTTGGAGAGCTTCAAATCTTAATGCATGTTCTGAGAGCACCGTGAGGGCAGCCATTGCTTCCTGTCCCCTAGGATAGTGTCACAGTCAGCTTCCTGGGTACTGGAGCTCAACGTGTTACAAGTATTGTCTCCATTAATACTCACAGCTATACTGTGACGCTGGCATGATGAGGTGTTCTTTTCTTTTCCAGAAATTATTGAAATATAATTGCAATATAACATTGTATTAGCTTAAGGTGAACAACGTAATGATTTGATAGACGTACATACTGCAAAGTGTTTCCCACCGTAAGTTGAGTTAACATCCATCATCTCACAAAGTTACACATTTTTCCCTCTGTGGTGAGCGCTTTTCAGATGTACTCTCTTACCAACTTTCAAATATACGACACGACATTGTTTGCTATAGTCACCATGCTGTACGTTAACCCCCCAGGACTTATCTATCTTATCAAGAGAAGTTTGTGCCTTTTGACCCCACATTCACCCATTTAAGGTATTCTTTCTATTACTGTGCCCTTTCTCCTTTCCACAGGGAAAGACACTGAGTCACAGAGAAAGTAAGTCACTTGGCCAGGATCACACAGCCAGAAAGTGGCAGGGTGGCGATACCAATCCAGCTGTGACTCCCAGATGCTCACTTCTCACCACACACTGTGCTTTCTCTCCGTCTGTGCCTCAGTATCAGCTCGAATAGAAGAAAAATAAGAGAAAGTAGGCCAGCTAGAAGGTGGATTGATGTTTGGAAAGAAAGCAAAGACTGGTTCTCTGAAAAAGAAGTTAGATCAAGGATAGCCAGGTAGATTGCAAGGTGATTCCAAACAACAAAAGCAAGAATATGATTCCTTGTTCTCTTTTTTCTTCTTTTTCAGTTAAGTCGCTCACACATGTCTCTCTGTAGGGACAATAGCATCATGGATTGTTCTCCTAGGCCCTGTTTCAATTGCCTGATCTCTTACATTTTGTTGCCTGTAACATAAGCTGTCATTCTTTGGCCCCTGGCCCGGTGCTCCGAGGAGTGGCCTCTGATAGTGGAATTACTGATCACTTGCCTTACTCACAGGGGCCATCTCACCTCCAGGAAGGGATGTGTCCCTTGAGGCTGGTAACCTAGAGGTCCTTAGTGATTTCTTAGAGGATGTGTACCTTCTTAGAGTTACTGCAACACCTGCTGCCCCCATCCCATGGGCCATAAGATCCACAGATTGGAGTCTTCAGGTGGAAAAGGTACAGCCAAAGATTGAAGCATGTTTTAAGAAGAGGGGGAGTGCGGGCGGGTTCACTGTCACTGAACACAGGAACCTGGAAGGAGATAATTTTAGGGGAAAAGTGAAGAAGAAAACAACTCCTTGTCTATCTGGAACTCGGCGGGGCAGCAATCTAACCTCCTGAAACACAGCCAAGGTCTAGGAAGTCAGTCAGAGATTCCTGAACACCCTAACAGAAGACACAAAATACATAGACAAGCTGAGTTACCAGAAAGGCAGTCTTTGGCCCTTTATTCACTTGTGACCAGATTGGTTATCTCTAGAACCACAGGAAATTAGAAGCAC